CTGTATTTTGCAATCTTTAAAAAATCTTCCCTGTGAGCTTAGTCTTGTGCAGATCAAAAGAGAAAAATTACAAAATTAACATTGAAAACATATACAATTAGCTTTTCAGAAGCATAAAGGCATTTGTTGCTTCCTGTTGGCTACAAAACAACTTTCATTTTCCTCTCACTTAACACTTAAATTTTTTTTTTTCAGATCTGATGGTTGCAAAACAGCATTCACACCATAGTCTGATTTTCATCCTAGCACTACAGATAATCCCTATTCAGGCACCTCCACGTACTCAAGTGAAGTCTCTTGACCATATCCAGCTCAGAATGAAGATATTCACTAATATGTGACAATGGTTTCATAGCAAGGAATGGAAATAAGAAATCAAAAATGCTCTTTGCTCTTCATGTGAAGGGGGTTATTCAGGTATGGATCATCTGCCAGATGTACAATAATCAACAGAGCATGAGAACAGGCCTGAGCCTCTTTCTTTCAGTTGTCCATTGAATTCTCCTCTAACATGATCTGGATAGAAGCACTTTGTGCTTTTTAATCTGAAAACAATACTCTACCTCACTGGATATTCAGATATCTGTTTTATATTATCTCCAATGACTGCTGTTATATTAAATTCAGCCAATATGCCCTGTTATATATAAATATATATATGTATTACTGTTGTAATAAAAAAATTTTAATGACAAAGCATATTTTATAACTAATTACTTTAAACTATCCTCATTTAACTTCATGTTGATATAGTAATAATGCTTTTAAGAAAGACATTTCATTATGATACGAGCCAATGAAAACCAGCTACCATATTCCACTGAAGAATATGGTAGCTAGTTTTGCTGGAGAATTGTGCTTGGTATCTTTTAAATAGCAGTTTTATTTATGGTTAGAAATGTGCTAAGGAAGTTTCTTTATACTGAAATATTCATGATGTAGATCCAGAAAAGTACTCCCTTGCTCCTTCTGCGGCCTCACAGGATCTCAACTAAAATAAAGTCATTATTTAAGCATCAGCAGTATTAGAAACATGAGAAAGCTAATTTTCTAAAAATTAGAATTCTCCTTTTAAGGAAACATTTTGGATTTATTATATCCAAATATTTTGCCTTGGTAGCATCATGCTGGAAAGGAAACAATGCTAGTGTAAAGAAATACATAATATCACAGAGATTCATGGGTCTGCAGAGAAATTTGACTGGGATCATCCAGTATGTGATGTATGGTGTGTATATTCTCTGGCCTATATCAACATAAGGAGTTTGCAAATAAAAATATTAAAATTGGTTTGCACCATTTTATTTCAGGTGAAAACCTCCCAAGAACAACAGGATCTCAGTGGTTTACTAATACAGGGGGGAAAAAAAAAGAAAAAAAATCTAGATTTTAAGAAATTAAGATAAATAAGGTTATTTTGAGCACTGCTTAAAATCTGTCCACTTGTTCAGTTCTGTTTCTCTCTATGGAAAATTTGAATAAAATTTTTATCTGTAAACTATACATAGGTACCAGTAGATGCAACAAGAAAGTGAAATGCTATTCAGTATGAAGGCTTCTATTATGAGCTCAGCTTTTTCAACATATGTGTCAGACAGAAGTTGCTTAAGTTTTAAATATTAAATATAATGTTAAATATTTTAATTTTTTCCAGGTCTTAATTTCTTTTTAGGAAATGTATGTTGGGTTACAAGGTACTCTTTGATTCACAGATAAATCAGATAGTTGAACATAATGCCTTCTGAATGAATACATTCTGAACAAGCACAAAGAAAGAACAAAGCATATTTTACTATGGATAATTTAACTTATATTAACATTTGATTTCAAGAAGACAATAATCTCCATCACACTCCCTGGATTTCATGCTCATCACTCTGCTCTCAATTAGCCCTCAGTATTCTGAATCAGAGTGCACAGGTCTCCAATATATGTCAATCACACCCTGCTCCTTATTCAGGATTTGTCAAAGGTCCCAAGCCTTGTCTGTACTGTCACTTAGACAAATAATTTTATCCTGAGTTTATGTATATTGGTTTCAAAGCCATTCTGGATGCCTCTAAGAAACACATATTCAAGGGGAAAAAAACCCTGGGATTGAATGCTGTTACCTAAATAAAATATGAACCAAACTTCTCACTACCTTCTGGAAAAAAGTGGAATGTCTTGCAGCATCCTCAGACACATAGATGCTAAAAGCCTGTTCCAAAAGAGATATAACCTGGGCTCCCAGGCAGCTTCATTTGCTCTCTGACTCTTCTGGGTTGATGTTTGCTAATGATCACACACTCATCGACACAGCTGCACTTGCTCCAATAACTAGCAGCACGGACACATGGATCTCTGTGACACTAAGATCCCACTCTAGCTGTTGGCATATTAGTCCACTCAGCTGTCTCCAGTTCCACAGGAGCACTGTGACTCTATGGCCTGCTGATGTGCGGGCTGACTGAAGGGTCTGACACTAAGACTCTGTCCTTCATTTTCCTCTCAACACTGAACGAGAGTCCATCCACTGCAAAAGTTAGAAATAACAGGGCAGACTGTGCTGATGACATGCCAAGCATTGCCAGATAAACAGCCATGGGTTTACATGGAATCAACCCTTCATCACCTTATTGCTCCACATTCTTTTTTTCAGTCTTAAACAAAGCAACAACTTCCCTCCCCTTCCTAACCTTCACTTCTTTCTCTAAGCACCCCACAGTAAATCTTGCGCTATCCCAAGATGCTCTTTCTTCCCCTGCATCCCATAATGTTTCCCGTACCTCTAGGCAGTGACCCCTCCTCAGTCCCAAAGGTACTCTGGAGATCTGCCCCCTGACTATTCCTGGTGGGTGTCACACCTGGGCCTGAGCCTGGGAGTCTGTATGTGAATCTATATGTGATGACATGAAAACTTCTCAGCTCCAGCCTGTGTCTTTGAGCCAATAGTTATAGACAGATGGAGATTTAGAAAGAAGCACTTACAAAAGAAAATGAGCTCATCCTGATGCAGAACTATTTTCCTTGCTTTGTGATTTTAACTAAAGAGAAAGCAGATATATAGTGCTGCAAGAAGCAGCTGGGAATCAATTTTCAATCCGAAAGCTCACGATCAATATTACTTTCCACACCTGAGAAGCTGAAGACTACAGGGCAAGGGCTTCCCTCTGGATGACCAGAGCATCCATACTACCAGTGTGATCCACCACAATCTGTCTTTTGGTAAATATAATGTATCCTTTATGTTGCATTTGAATATGTGTTTTGTGGCTACAAGATAACCTAGTCTTTGCTCTACAGATCCTGTGGATAAAGAGCAATGGGATTAATTACTTCTGAGACTCATTATGCAAACTTCTCCCCCAGATCCATATTATAGCACATTTGAAAATCATTCCACATATCTAAATGTTCATTTTCATAGTACTTCATTTTTTTCTTCAGACAATCTACAGCACAACAGTCTGTGCAACAGTGTGTCACATTGATATAATCAGGGGAATAATATATGTGACCCAAAGGCTTTTTGTTCCTTGCAGCAGTTCTCCTGGTAATATCCCTGCAGTAATTATGAAGAATATGCAATGATGTGCAGAGATACTCTTTCCTCTGACACCCTGGGGAATTCTACAGGGACATGTCCTTGGACTTTTAACTAGATTGATGTCCTACAGGTCTTTTTTTAGCATGGTACATGTGGATAATTTTTTATTCTACAGTCTGTGGAGCTCTTCAGAAGTGATGCCCTTGAACCCCCTGCCAAAGGGATTCCCTGAAGGCCTTGTGTTAGACAAGCATAGTTTGTCCCAAATCATTCAGGAAATCAAGTTTATCACTGCTGGAGGTTTTTAAGAGGGTAATAACTCCTGCAGTGTATATTTGCTTGGGATTTTAGAATGACAAAGCCTCTGAGAGTATTCCATGTTCTTGTTTTGTCACTTCTATTAGTTGCATTAATAAAGGTTTTCCCCTTGTCATTCTCCAGCACTTTCACTAACTATTCTTCTCATTTAGAAAAGCTCTAGTGTATTCCATGTTTGATGTCACAATCTTATCCAAGACTACTTTATATTAGTTGAGTATAGGCAACATAGCAATGATGTTGCAAATGTATCTGACAATATATAAGTGTGGAAACACAACAATGCTGGAGTGATGGAAATCACAAGTCAGAATCAAGTGAAATCAGGGGAGATGTGTGACTTGGGCCAAACTAGCTCACCACTTTATAGCTGGATGCAGAACCATACTGGAAAAAGTGAGAAGCACATATTGTTCTTTCCATGCTATGCAGAATAAAAATTAAAAAAAAAAAAAAAAAAAAAAAAAAAAAAAAAAAAAAAGCAAGGACTTAAGATGATTAGAGTTTGTGTCTCCATTTTTCTTTTCAAAATGCTTCCTATGCTAACACTCAGAAGAAAATCTGCAACTACTCTGTCAAAGAGCTGGAGGAAAAAGTAGTCTTCTAGGATAAAAATACATGGATCATAAATGCTTTGTATGAATTACTATTTGTTCTTTGACTTCTTGCAATCTGACTAAAATATATCCTTGTATATCTTGCACATAAGTATGCATACTTTTTTAAATTAATGACTTTCTAGTTTTCCTTGAGTGAACTAAAATCACAACTTCTCTGTTCTTCACCTAAAGCCACAAGGATCACTACTACATTCAGAAAATTCCTATCAGTGTCTGAGATAACTTTCCATACCCTTTCTCTATAACAGAATGCAACCTGGTTAAAATCAGTCTGCAAGGACTTCTGTTCTTACCTACATGCAGGATTTTTATTAAAGATAGAGGTAATTAGGCTAATGCAAAAGAAATTATAGAGTTCTGGTTTCATGCTTGTCCAGGGTATGTGTGTTCTAGTCTTTACTCCAGGCATTCTACCAGTTCTTCTTCTGGTTAATCTATTCATGTATGTACTGGGTAAAAATCCTAATACTTGGCAAGTGAAGACTTATGACATGGTAGAAATTATCTCACATGTTCACAGGCTCTCAAAGAAATATGATCATGTGGAAATTTTATTTCAGAACCACAAAGAAATGACCTAGTTTAAAAATTATATGCAGCAAATGTAGCATTAGTTAGATCAGAGAATTCAAAGTATCTGAGATAAAACATTTAGAAAATATGAATGTTTTAAGTTTTGCATTTTGACATTTAGCAAGGAGTGTTTCAGTGGAAACAATCTTCCAGTACTGGCAAAACAGCAATGTGGCAATATATTAATAATCATCCTTTAGTTCAAAAACTTGTCATAAATTTCATTTGAAGACATTCACTTTTAACAGTAAAAAACTCACATTAAATTGTGAGTAAATATAAACAGACATGCACACAAAACTGAAATGTCTTAACAGTAGTATGATTCACACCTTTTAACTGGCTTTTGAAAATACTGTTTTCTTTTTTGCTCCCAGCTTGATGGCTATTTCTGCAAAAGTAATATTTTTTAGAGTTTCTGAAATGGAAAATCAACACTATAATGCTGTGAAGAGTTCCCTGTTGCCCTGGTGATTTACCATTGCATGCAATTTCATCCTTTTATATAGTGTTATATTAATACTTGTGTATGAGCTATAAGGGAAGAAAAATATTATTTGCAATGTCATTGAAACAAGCAGTGTATAAAAAAAAGTGCCACATGGGGCGCTGAAGGTGTATTCGTTGATGTTCATTCACAAAATTTACTAACATTAAAGCTTATAATATTCTTGGAAATGCAAAGTGGATGTATAGGTCACTTGAACAGTCTGCCTTCCTTCTGCTGAAATTTAAAAAAATAAATCCTTTTCAGTTTTCCTTTATCCTGATAATTTTCATAATTACGATCCCCAAATAGTCTTGATAGCAATGCCAGTGTATTATCAGTCATGTGACCCAACATGCCATTATGTCTTTCCACAGTGCAATACAGCAAGTAAACCCACACAAATATTTAAAGACAGATTTTTATAGGTCATTATGTAGCTATGTCAAGTCTCACACAGTGGACAACACAAAACTTGCGTGTCAATGCTGGGAAACCTTCCCACTGTGGCTCAATTGCCGCCCTCTCCACATGTGCTGTAGAAGCTGCTGCATGTAGGAAAGTCTTTGAGACTCTCAGTGTTACAAGAGAGGAATTCTGTATGACACTTGAGAGCTTCTTTCCTTGTTGCCATGTCAGTTTGTGTACTTTTCATCAAGCAGTTGCAAGACAAAATTTACATGAAAATCCATGAGACTTGGGACCAGAACCTGCATATGTGCTTCAAGAGAAGGGTCTGTAGAGACTCCAGAGCATGTTCTCTTTCAAGTTTATGTTTCAAGAGAATAACAAAACCCCAGATTTGTTTAGTAGCCACATCCATAACTATATCAGGGTCTTGACCTGAGCTGAACTTTGTGCCTCATGCTTTGAACTGAAGCCTCTGACTTTCACCATTTTGCAAATATTTCTTACAGGCTACCTGTTATCAGATGTATTCAGCTGCTTTGGTATTTCAGCCTCAGGCAAAATGTTCCTTCTAAACATTGTAACCAGGTTGAAATTTTTATTTCTAATTCTTTCCACACACCACATAGGAAACAAAGGTGTCACTACTATGATTCTTTTATTTTCTAAGTATAGGCTATAAGCTCCACAATTATTTTTAGTTATTAAGTAAGCAGAAAACAAAGGTATATATGAATCTGCTCAGAATAAAAATACTAATTTTTTTTCTCAAAGAATGTGTCAAAGGTCAAGCCAAAATTTTTCTCAATTGTTTTTGCTTGAACCACATTTTAGAGGTAAAAATTAATAAAATATTGTAAATCTGTAAGAGTGTTTCCATATAGTATTTTTTCTTTATTATAACTACTCCATGACTTGAAGATATGAAGAATTACATTGCATTTTATAAATATTTTTATAAATCTCAGATTTTTTTACTATATGCTGAAAATACTGAAATTTCTTGAAGATTTTTGGTTTTTACTTTTATGTTTATTTAATTATTAAGTTAATGAAGTTCAGCATTTATGAACTTGAAGAGGAAAATTTTTTTTCATAGGTTTGGCTGACCTTGAAATTTAAAGCACTGGGGCATGACAAGTAGAAGTTAACACTCAAACAATACAAATATATGTAAGGATGGTTTCCTTTGTTACAAAGTTACCCTTGTAATCACACCTTATGTATTGTGAATGACAGCAATTATTCATATATTCTGAAAATGTTTACATAATCTGATAAATTGTTAGAGTAACTTAATTATTCTTTTTTTTTATTGCTATAGTATTTATCAGAGTTAAAAAATCAACTCTACAAACATCAGCAAAAAGAGTGAACTATCTCAAATCGCCAAATAATATTTATACAAATGGAAAGAGCAATTGGGTTTTTGCACATCCTCACATATCCAAGTAACAATTCAGTTCACAAGGATGAAGTTTATGAAAATGTGGAATAACATACTGAGGCTGGGAGCATTGCTGTCTTTTCTTCATTATTTCTTCTTGTCTTTTTTTTTTTTTTAACCTTTTCCTCTGTTAAGGTGTATCCTTGCAATAGAGCCCTACTACACTGGCAGGGTATCTTGGCAAGGGCTCAGTAGTGCCATCATAAAGATTTAGTCTGGCACAAAGCAGAGCAAAGACTTTCTGGGTTTACCCATAATAAACTCCAGCGTGATTTCTTTCTGCCTAAGAAAAGTAGTAACAGTAATTTTTAAAATTTTTAGTAAGTTTTACATAATGATGTCAATATAAACATCCAAGTTGCTCCATCACTTCCACAAAGTAAGCAAGTGAACCAGGTGCCAGTTGCCAGAAATTTCTGTGTCAAAGGATTTATTTTGTTCAGTAAATAGTGCACTTCTTTCCTTCATGTACAAGAATTTACACGATCTTTAAAATTATATCAGATTGTGACATGCAGTAGTGCAAGTTAGAAAGCAAAGGTATTAGTTAAATTATTTTGTGCCTGAAAATAATATCTCCATGGTGTACTTTTTCTGAAGATATTGCAGTTGCTATGGAATAGCAAAATATTAAAAGAAACATCTATAGTCAAACAAACAAATTTATAGTGGAACTTAACAAAAAGCATACAGACCCAGAAAAAAGAAAGAAAGCTCCAAATAGATGTTTTGTTATATGTTAGCATAAGAGTGACGTTTTGCTAGAAATCTTGTAAAAGTCTTCATAAGATCTTTTAGTTTATTTTTCTTCTAAAAAAATGCAACATTACTATAGTAATTGCATGTAAAACTGGTTTAGTCTAAGGTATACAGGAAAAAGAACAACAAAATGCACTAATAATAGCATGATACAGGTACATATCATGGTATGTAAAGGTTTGTTCTTTTCTCATTGGTTTTGCATGAAGCATTGCAAACAGAAAATTTGAATTTATCAACTTTACTAGTATTGCTTGCTTTAAAGTAAAATAGTACAAAGCAGTGTGCACAAGAAAGTCATATAATTGTATGTTTGGAGCCCCAGTGCAAAGAGGACAAGGAACAAAAACTTTTTTTTTTAACTTTTGAGAAACTCACTAGCAAAAGCAATCAAATACTGTAGGACAAGCTAGAAATGACAGATCTTCTTAGGATGACGTGATCAAGAGGATTATGCTATTTCTTGAGACACCATAATTTCTGGAGAGAGAGCACTCTGCTCCCCAAAGCAAACAGTGTGGTTGTCCTCTCAAAATAACTTGGCAGTTACAGACTCTTTTCAGTAAATCCATTATTGCTGACACTGAAGTACTTCCAAAGCAGTTAACCACTGCGAGAAATGAAGTCCACCAGGAAAGATAGAAGGTGGCAGTTGTCACCTGCAGTACAGAGAAGTGCAGCAGTTACAGTATAAGGGAGAACTCTGAAGCCAGAGTAAAATGCCAATCCTTTCATTGTGTACTTGGTAAGACCTGGAGTACAAATACTTCAAAATGGGTTTAGCAGTTATACTAAGGTAAGCAAAACATACGACCCTAAAAAAAAAAAAACAAACATTAGATTACAGCCATAAAGATTACAAGAGGTCTATGATTTCAAAGTACACATTTGGTTTTAACTTCCACTCCCTCCACACCAATTATTTTTCTTTATGCTTCATTTGTAAAAGAAGAGATCATTCACTCATTTCAGATCCATAGAGAAGGCAAGAAAAATGGAAAACATTCAGACCATGGAAGACCTCTCTTGTACAGATCAATCACTCCTGCAGTTCTTTCTGTCATCAAAAAGACCTTTTGTCAGGACTGCACTTTTTGTTTAACATAGGAAAGTTGATGAAAAAATCAGACACTTGAAAGAATAAAGGGAATAAAGAACAACAGAAAGTATTGAAAATCATTTTGAATGCTCACTTCATAAACAAAACTACAAATGTTTCTCTCTGGTCAATGACTGCAGGGGCTTCTAGCACAAAGAACAACAAATTCAGCTGACTTGTTATGCTTGTAGAACAGTGCCAGAATCCCAGTATAGGTTGGCAGAAGAGGGAGATTGATTGACTGTAGAGTAGCAAGACACAGGGAAAAACAAATGTTCTGTATTTGCTGTCCTTGACATCCAAATCCCAGATGTTCTGGTTAAGTGAACTCTTGCTAAGATGAGAATGCAACAAATCCTAACAATTCTTACTACTGCTAAAATAGCTCATATCTCAGTAAGTGACAGAAACCAGGCTACTATGGTTAGTGAAAATATTTAGGGCACAATATACTACTTAAAGACATTTTCCTTGTCTTCACATATCTATATATGTATACACATACATACATATATACTATGCTATTTTATAATGTCTTATGCCACTGTACACTGCTCCTCATTTGCAACCATAAGAAGACATTATTTCATTATGCAAAGAGATATTTAAAAAAGCAAAAAGGTGAAGAAAGCTCCCTGAAAATTTTCTTTGAAGAAGTGGTAGTAAGAGAGTGTGCTTGAATAAAGAAGGAAAATAAAAGAAATGCTGCAACCACTTTTACTCAGAGACTCCTTCCTTTTTGAGGTAAAAGGATCAAGAATTCCTCTGTGGTATTTCAAGGAAATTTTCTTCTTGTACTTGTTTTTTTGAGAAACAAGGTCAGTCTTTCCATAGCTCTTTCTAAATGAAAGAGATCTTTGGCTCTCCTACCCAACAGTATAGAACTCCTGAGAGTACTGCATTATTGATGGAGATGTTGCAGATCTGCACCACAGCTTTGCCCTGTTCTTCAGAATGATTTCAAGGCAATCTGTCCTTTGAGTCTAACTGTTCTTTCAGCTCAATCACTTCTTTCTATAAAGCCTCAGAAATCTCAAAATGGATTTCTATTACATGGGAAAATATTATTTAAAAAAAAAATAAAAGAGAAAATCAACCAACTAAAAAAACCCAAGCCACAAACGAACTAAAATACTTACACAATGAGAGATAAATTAATGTCTTCTCCAGAAATAGGATCAAGCTCTCAATGCAAAAGTATAAATTCCTGCATAAATCTGGCTTTTGGAAAATATGCATGGCATTTTTTGAAACTACTGATAAAATGACATATCTTTAAGGCTCTATGAAAAATAAAAAACCTTAAGTTTCTCATAGCTCAGTTTTTTCTCTTTAGCATCAAGTTTTTTAGGCACAGTTGGTTTTTTTAATGTGTGACCATGAACACCAGTAACAACTGGAGTATCAGCCATGAGAAAAAGGACAAGGTTTACAGAGCAGTTTTCTCAGACACTGACCAATGGGCTGTGAATTAACTTTCAAATGAATGACCACTCATCCTCACCACTTTCCAGAACTGTTTTAAAACTTTTAAAGTTTCCATTTATTTTCAATATCAAATCCACCTGCATCGCAAGTTGTCCGGCAAAAAGAGACAATCTTTTTAATCAAAGCATCTCAGTGCCACCATGGTAAAATCCCTCTAAATATCTATAGTGAACATATGAAAAAAAAAATTAAGAAATTTTTATGCAAATAATTCCTTATTTCAGAAACCAGCTTCTCTCCAAGGAGATTTTGCATTTATTTTCACTAAATAACAGTAGTCAATATTTTATGGCAAGGCTAAATGTCCATCTTCAGGTGGATGACTTCAGGGCTCCAAGCAGAAAAAAATATACCACTTCTTGGGAAGTCACTCACTGGCAATTTTGGGTGGTTGCATATCTGAATAAAATATGCGATTAAAAATGACCTTGTTTTTTTTTTTCCTTCATTACTATCTTCCTGCTGTGACTACAGAGATTCTATTTTTTTTAAATTTTAGTATCTATACTCCCACAGTTTTTCCTCTAATTTTAACGTATTCCTGCTTCTGCAGAGATCACAAAAGAATAAATTGCCAGTAAAGTGACCATCTCACATTTTGTACAAAAGAACTGAAAAATGTAGGAAATTATGACAGCATTTAGGATGTGGTAGCATAATGAAAATAATATATAAACAACTACCACACACTAGCATGATTCTGACTCAAATAATGCAGATGAGATTTTGCATGTAAAAATAAACTATTTTAAATTAAAAGTATATATCTTATCTATTAATCCAAAATTAAAAATTTACAAGTGTCTGTCTATACACAAAACACCAAACAGAGTTGTATTTCTTTTTAAGATAGTGAGTGAAATGAGAGCTAGGAAAGCAGGAAATTCATTCTTAATCCATTTGCTAACTTGTTCAACTCACCTTTCATATGAGGAAATGGTTTGAATTCTTATCTGGGTGCTGTTGCCTGTGCTCTCTTGAGCTTCTTCTCAAACAGCAACTTATTAACATTTATGATAAACACCCTAGGAAGATTGACAGAAAATGTACACACTATCATTGAGGAAAAATTATTTTTATACATCTTGGAAAACACGCTATTCTCTACCTCCATCTACTGGAGAATTATTAACAACTAACTAACTCTGAAGGTTTTTCTAATTCTTCCTCAATGCATCTGTTATTTTCAAGGAAAGCTAAACCTCAGTTCAGGGAAAAGAAAGACTACATGCAATGTCCCTCAGAAATAACATTTTAAGGATAATCATTAGCTCAATCATTTCTGTTTGCATATAACCATTCTTATAAATATCTAAAGTTGTAAAAAATCTAGTGACTTAAAGTCATTAGTAATATTTTTTTAAAAGGACAAACAAAAAAGCAAAACAAACAATCAAACAAAACCCCATAGCAACACCTCTTAGGCAATAGAGTCCCTAGATACCTTTAGCAGAACTAGTGAACTTCCCTACATTCCAAGACTTCCATAAATGTGTCTATCTATATTACTAGTAAATTTAATTCAATAAAGAGTACAGCAAAACAAATAGTGCTGAGGACCTTGGCATCCATATTGCAAGCATTTTCCAGTGTTTTACCCCAACCTAGTCATAGGCTAATTCTATTTACTGAAAATCCTTCGGCAGATGAAATAAGCTTTTTCTGGCAAAGTATAATTGGAAAGACACCCATTGTGTACATTTTGAGAACCCTACATAGATGGCACTTCAGCACAGAGTACAAATGAGCGATTTACTCAAAAATGGACAAACAAGGGGAAAAATTACCCTTCTGGTCTGAACCATAATGTATAATGCAGCCATGCTGAGAGATACCACTACACAAGCAAAGCTAAGCCACCCACAACCTATCTTTTGCTTCGTGCCATTTTAAATTCAGGTTTTGTTTCCAAAGTGGTCTGGTTTGCAACCAGCTCCCTTAACAATGCCCAGCTGCACCACTTTCAGCATAAAACACAGCATTCACTGCCACCTTGATTTAGTACTATTGTTGGAAATGTTGAAACTATATCATTGTACCTATTTTGGACAGAGTGGGTGACCTGTATTACACGTCTTCCTAAAGTTCAGACTGCAAACCCACACCCTCTGTTTTCCTAGATGACCAGGACACAAGTACTTTGGATGAAGAAGGGGTGATATGCCTATTAACCCAATTGTTATTATTTCAATTATGATTATCTCCTCTGGAAATTGAATCACTTTTGCAGAAAAGAAACCAAGGCTCAGAGAATTTAATAGGAGGGAGGAAATGGAGAAGGAAAAAAAAATGAGAGTCTTTATAAAAAATGAGAAAGGGTTTTGCTTTTAAGACCCATGAAATAAGAGACATCTATAGTATGAGGCATATGAAAGAAAGAAAAAAAACCTGTAATTTTTCTTTGAAGAAAAAGCAATGTCAATAATTTGGCGGAGTTTATTTCATTATATAATATAGAAAACACATCTTTAATTGCAAAAACATAAGGAATAACTACTGAATAATTACTGATACTGCTTATGGTTTGCATTTTTGCTTGCAAAAAAACATTTGAAAGAAATAGAAGCATATGAAATTACATAGGAAATACAATCATATTAGACAGCTCATATTCCAATTACTCTTAGAAGCTACTTAATTCACAGAACTTTATGAAACTGTCAACATGTAGAAAAATTATGTGGCAATTAAAGAGCTGATAGAAAAATTGAGGAAAAATTGTCATGTAGAAATATCAAAATAACATCTGCATTACTTCCAAAGTTTTGTGGTTTTTTTCCCTGTTCAGGTAACTCACTAACTGTAGGTTACTCTACCACATATCCTAGAGGCCTAAAACTCCAAATTTCCTTTCGGAAAGGAAAGGAAAACTTGAGAAACAGAAAATAAAGACTCCCAAATACTCTGGAAAGGAGATATGACCAAGTGAAACGCCACTGAGAAAAAAAAAAAAAAATGGGAAATTGGGAAATGCAGTGAGCACATGAAAATGGTCTGGGAGCAAATGAGATGCAGTGGAAAGGGGCAAAGGATGCCAAAACAAAGATCAGAGATGCTGCAAAATCAGGGGAAAAATCAAGGAGGAAGATAGAATGTGCTTTGGCCCATAGCCTGGCACTTGCTGGCATGCCATGCCTTTTGCTGCCTTTGGACTGGGTGGATATTTTTGAAATTTTTTTTTCGCTCTCCATGCCATTTCCCATCTGTCTCGCCCTCAGTGTTCTCTCTTCCTCCTTGAGGAAGCTCAAAGCTGTTTGAAATATGGTGAACCAAGTCCTTTATTTTTTGAGGCTTGTCATAAGTCTTTCAAGATTTCATGAGTCATGGGTTCATATCTGGGGTTTTCATCTCTTCTCTCGTACCTCACTGGCATTGCAATGCTGTTTGTATCTAGTATGCCATAGTCTTTATTTCATAATGCTGTCCTTCTGATATTTGCTCAGTTCATCAATGAAACGTCTCTTCAGTTATTTCTGGGAATAGGAGCCACATCTGGTGGGGTTGCCCTTTGCCTGGATGCAACTTCCTCTGGCCCAAAGGGAGCATACATTTCAGGCACCCTCTTCCTTCTGTTTGAGGGGAGGTAAAAAGGCTGTCAGGTTCTGGATATTGAGGAACTGAAGAGGCAGTAACTGCACTTGCTGTATGCGTTGATGATGAAGTGAATGGAAGAGAGTGAGTTCCATGCTTTTGTCCTGAAAAGCAATGAGCAAATTTCTGAAGCTGGAGAAAAAGTCGTTTTATAAAATCCTGAGAAAGTGAAAAAAAAATCTTGGTTGAGTTGAAGAACTGGACTTTTGACCTGAAAGCCAAGTTTTTGGAGCAGGCATATAAAAAGCTGAAGCGTCTCTTGATGTCCAGAAGCCAGCTGGTTCTTTAGATGAAATAGGAATGCCTTGTCCTGCTGTGATGGAGATAACATTCTTGTTGCTGTTCTCCTGTGGTACAGGAAATTGTTGTTGATGTGGATCATCCATGGCTTGAGTGCTGGCATCCTGTCCAGTGTGTGAGGCGTCTTGGCTTGGCATGTCCATTTTTCCTGGAATGATGTAGTGTGTCATGGTCTTCTTCTGCAAGGCATGCTTTAAGGGCCTCAATTGATTGTGGACGATTCTGTATACCCTGGATTTAAATTATTTTACATTATTTTTCCTGCCGCCTTTGCAATGCTTGTTGCAACGCTGCCTTTGTTCCACAAGGCGGCGCTGTTGCTCCACGGATCGGCTGTGAGCCGCTTTCCGCCGCGGCGGGACCTGCTGCGACCTGGGGCGGCTGGAAAAGCCGTGCTGTGCCGAGATGTGGCGCTGCGTGTGTCTCCTCGGGGGATGGTGGCGGCTGCAGCGGTGTGATGCTTGCCCGCAGCAGCTGCTGCCAGGGGACCGCAGCTGTTCCAGCACAGGGAACACGGGCTGCCGCGGGGGCGGCTGCAGCGGCTGGGGCTGGGGGGGGTGAATGGGGTGCGCAGGGAGCATGCGCCAACCGGGCTGGACTGAGCCTGCGCGGCCGGTTCGGGGCGGGCGGCACTGGGATGGCACCGGTCTGACCCAGCGACCGCCCTGTGCCGTCTTTGTTGGAGGCTGGCAGCCGACCGAGGCTGTGGGAGCCCGGAAACCAAAGGCTTTGCCACGAAAGTCTCGGGCGCCTGTGACGCCTCCCAGAGTTGGGGCTGGGGCGGGGAAAGCGGAAGGGAATGGGACGGCCCCTCCAACCCCCTTTCTCCCGCCTCAGGGGTATACAGAGGTGTAAGAAATTCAAAAACTGCTATGTCTTCGTCCTCCTCTTTACCGATAAGTAATTTAAAACCTGGAAGCCGCTGTCTTTCGGGCACAATCTATTTTCTCCTTCCGCCCCGTCCCCGCTTCGCCCTCCCGTTAGACGGCTCTTCCTCCTCCTCAGGGGGAGCAGCTGCTTCCCGAGCCTCGGCAGGGTCCCATGGTGGGTCACGAGTTTCGGGGGAAATTTTCCATTGCCCAAAGTAACAAATTTACCAAATCCTTTTTGTGCAGTTTTGATGGGTGCTGTTTCACTAAGGATTCAAATTTTTGGAGTGCATCTAAATCACTTTTGGAGAGATTCCCTCCCATTTTTGCCCCCTTCAGAGCTTACTGAATTTGGGGTTCAGCTCTCAGTCCTGAGATCCACCCAGCAGAGCACGGAATGCAACTCCTATGGCCACCCGGATGTTGAATGGCTGAGTCCTTTCACCTCCAGAGGAATTTTGATGGATTTGGCTCACTTCCAGGGACTGTGTGGGATGATCTCTTCAGAGCTGGATTCTCCTCTCACTGGGGCAGCAGTTGCAAGTTTGCAGGCCCCATGTCAGGCAACTCCATGAGGGCTCCCCTGACAGGGGGAAACCCTCCCGAAGCAGTTCTTTGTCAGGAAAAGCAGACACACAGGACTTTTTGGTCTTCAGGTTCTTGTTTTATTGTTATCATGACTTCAGTACACTGTCTGCACCCAGACCTTGCATACCCAAAAATAGCACAAAAATGGCCAATGGCCTCGTGTTGCAAGGCCTTTTTAAGTCTGATGAAAAACTAAACTACTCAATTAAGAAGTGATGTGGTAGTCTGTTATTTTACAATTGGTTCTTCTGTAGTATGTTTTAATATTCCATGTTATAAGTTTGTAAGGGTTCCATCTATGTGCCCCATTTGGCTTCCCTAATGGTTCAGTCCTGAGTTGTTTTCCCCACCAAAATGTATGTCAATCCACCTGTATACCTCCCTTGTTCCCTTGTCTTACCCCTGTCTGTCAAAGATAGCACACTCCTTTGGTTCTGGAGTGTTCCCTGTCTCTCATTCCCTCCTCAAAGCAGAATTGGGTTATGAGGTTTGCTCCCTCCCCATGTTGGCTTCTAATGGGGAGCCCTTACCCTGCACCCATCCCCTAATGCCTCCTATTGCTCAAAGGTTGTGTCCTCCCCGTGTTCCCCCTACCCTATAAAAGTAGCCCCTTCAGGTTCAGATTGGTTCATTGTTCTGCCCCAACTTTGACATTAAAGATTTGGAGACTCAGACAAGTGTCCTTCCCTTATTCCTGTGCCTCGGTTTCCCCGTGCTCTGTGCCCCGCTGCGCTCCCCACGCCGCAGCGATCACCACCCACACCAGGCTGGGCAGAGGCTCGGGGCAGCCACTCGGTGTCTGCCCTGCAGCCACAGGTGGGACAGCCAGCAGGGAACCGACATCCTGTGGCTGCTGAGAGCCAGGTGCAATATTCAAGCTACAATAATTTTTTTCCCTTTTTAAGAGATTGAAATTGCTGTAGCTGAAAAGTTTTAGCTGCTGTGCTCATTCTTGGCTTTCACAACCGCAACATTCAGAGTGCCTAAGTCTGTATGCCTAAATCTACAACTTGACCTACAACAGTAGCAGGAACCAAACATTCTCTTCTGTTTATTTGACCCTGTCATGTGGATTATACTCTCATTACTTGTTAGCCACTTTCAGGGGATAGCATCTACCACATCTAATCCAGACCAGCTTTCCTCCAAGTTACATTCTGCACATATGCAGTCCAAGATACTGAAGAACAATTTGGCTGGGATGGGGTGATGGACTAAATAACCTCCCAAATTCCCTGTGGACATTTGGTGTGCAAGGGTGGTGGATGGGGACGGTGCTGATCTGAATAAGACACAGAGTGTCTGGACACAGCTATGCTGTACCTTCCAGCAGCAATCCTAAGGATGTGAACCACAGATGCCTAAACAAGCATCTGGACCCTAGGCAGTACCCCAGAAGCAAAGATGACAACGATGAGAAAGGAAGCAAACAGCCACTCTGCCTCTCCTGGCTAATTTCACAGCTGAAATGAAATTGCTGGTGAGAAAAGCAGTGCAAGCATGCACAGTGTGCTGTGATTAGATAGGGCACTATCTAATGCTGGGGAGAGGAGCACCAGATCAGCCAAGCAGAAGTTTTCTGTGTATTCCCTCTGCTGCCTTTTCTCCTGAGAGGTGCTTGCCTTTTATTCTCTGCTCCTTTGCTTTCAGTTCTGTTGTTGCAACTTGCACCTCCTCTCTAAAATGTGAAAAGTAGCCCCTTTAAGTGTGATGGAGGCAAAGCGAGCTGATGTTCCTTCTGCTCCTAGGAGGATAAAAATGCCACAGCACTGATTCTGTCTAATGAGGCAACCCAAAGACTGAAGCAGTCCTTGAACTTTTAATTACCCATCACAGAGGTAGATTCTTTCAGCTCCATGGCAAACATAACTGTCCTTTTTCTAATACTGCAGTAAAGCTGAGCTTAATACTCTGGTTGCTGAATTATTTTATTTGGCTTTGTTGTTTTTACATTGTCAAGACTTTATTTCTGTTCAGCAGCACATGCTCTTTGCCATGGTGCATGCTATACTAATCAAGCTTTTATTATGTATTTTTGGATCCTCCCCACAGTGTGCAGAGATCTTTGGGGCTCTTTTAGCTCAGAATATCAATAAAGCTTATTGCCAATGTTCCTGGTAGAGGTACTGCATCTACTTACCCTGGTCATCCCCCCTTGGAAAAATTAAATTGTTGCAGTGTAAGTGCCAGGTTCAAGGTCCACTGCATATGAAAATAGAATTGATTACTCTCAATGAACAGAGGCTTGCAGCTCTTGAGAACATTATATGATAAATGTGCTGGCACACACTGTACATTTGGCATGCTAAGTAGTTTACTGAACTCTGCAGCATATTTTAATGAAATGCTGACAGTTTGGCATCTTATTGGATAACTGCATTCAGTGGTATTGGTCACAAATGGAAGGAATGCAAAATACTCTGTAAGGTGGTTGCTTCTCCATTACTTTCTGCTCTGTGTTACTACACTACTGGAATTTATCAGAGTCAGCAATTAGCAGTGAATAATGAGCGCACAGCTTTCCCCCGGTTCTCATCTAGAAACTTCTGACTCTAAGCAACCCTACCCAAAAAATTAAAAAAAAAAACAAAAACAATATTTTAAAAAACCTTTAATCACAGGTGAGCTTTTTTTTAGCTGCAAAGGTTTCACAGTAGAAGTAATCAAACTTTACAGAGAGTTTTCCTGGTCTCATATCCTCACCTGCTCCTATCCTCCTACCATTACCTGAGGTTTCCTTCTAGAATAATGTTTTGCCTTCATCCACTGCGTAAAGTCTATAAACAAATAAACGGATAGCACCTCACTCTCCCAGGATGGCAACTCCCTTTGCAAGTCCGGAGACACAACCCTGATTCTTTGTATTCCTGGTGCCGCCCAGTGTCGAAAGGCTGGAAGTGGCACTGCCAAGGCACGTGCTTGGGAAGTCACAGCTGACCAGTGTCTCTGGCACATGTCCCGCAGCCAGGGCCTCACTGCCACCTGTTGTGACCATGCACTGAAGATCAAAATCTTAAACCATCTTCTTTCACAGACAGTGTGACTTCAGCTTACGCCAATGAAACTAGGCCGTTCCAGTATTATATAGTTCTGCACAGGTTCTTCTCTTTTCCTGGTTAGTACTAAAAGGCAGAGGAAACTTTTCACTAGTGTGTTTCAAGGCTCTTGCTCCCAAATATTAAGGGGGTGGTACCATCTATCTCTTTAACAATGATTTTGGGGATCAGTCACCCCAGACACACTAACCCCACTGTGATTAACCCCCTAATCACAGTAACCCCACTGTGATTAACTACCCCAGTTAATCACAGTTTCAGCCAAGAGGAGTAGTGTGGTACCTCCATCACACCATCCAGAGCTTTGCAGACAAATAAGAGATGTGGATCAGAGCATGTACATTTCAGAGTATTGTGCTGACTGAGTCACTAGAAGAAAGTTTACTCTTTCTTTACTGATCAGTTGATAGCTTGCTGGTTTAAAGTATGGGAAAATTATCTGACCTAAGAGAGGAGCATAAGCACCTCTAAGATTGGTACTGCCCACTTCTCAGATCCAAAATCTAACTTTCCCCGCCTTTCTTTTTTTCTTTTCCTTTTTTCTCATATGTATCTCAGCTCTCTCAGTGGCTATGGTCTGCCTTCAAGGGCCAGGGAATGTGGCAGACCATGATGTACAACAGCATTTAACTGGCCTATTGCCTGGTGACCAGCCAGACCCCACCTTCACTCTCCTTTGCCAAAGGATTCCTGCTCCTCACACAGAGTCATAGAATATCCTGAGCTGGAAGGCACCCACACCCTGTTCCTGAGAGTGTTGTCCAAATGCTTCTCAAAGTCTAGCAAGCTTAGTGCTGTGTGCATTTCCCTGGAGAGTCTGTCCAAGCACCCTCTGGGTGCAAAACCCTTGCCTTATATCTAACCTAACACCACCATCCACGACAACACATGGATCAGCTGTCTCAAGTTAGCTACAGAGGTAAAAAACATGTTGGGGCTTCTGGACTATGGGAAGTAGTTTCTTCTTGTTTTGCCAGGGCAACATAAGTCTCTCCCTTTCATTCACACTTTACAGTCGTACTTTGGCCATAGATCCCCACTCTGCTAGTTATCCAACAATTTCTTTCCTAGGTCATCACAGAACAATCACAGAATTGTTATTGCTGAAGGAAGACATGGTTTTGTCACATATCTATTTTACTCTTTTAGAGGCTGTTACATAGTGGTGGCAAAAGTTAGAGCATCTCTTTTACTGTGTTTTAGAATTCTTGTTCCCTATTTCATTTATACTGATTTTGACACAAGCCTGTCTCAGCAGTAACTCACTGCACTGCCACCAGGCAGTCTGACAGCATGTATAAGCCTAGATTTGCCATCCAAAACCCCAGGCAAGTGAACAGTCATGGGTTACAAGGAGTGGTTTTGACTGAAATGCCTTACGTGTGGTTTGTTAATGCATGGACATTGGCATAAACTCCCAGTTTCAGAAAGGCCTTTTCCAGTCCTGGTTCCAAG